ATCTGGCACCCGACCTCTGTACCAGCAGCGTACCTGATGTACCTGCCAGCTCAGGACAGAGCCAGCGCCAACAGTAAAGCTAACCCTTGCTAACCCTTCTCAAGAGCTCTACTGATTTTAAATTGCTTCCTCATATTGACAGCAAATCCGAGCTGGAGCATGAGGGGTAAAGTCCTGGGCCATATGGCAGAGCTGTACGCAGGCTGCAGTTCTCCAGGCTGGGTCCATGAAGGACTTCAGCCGTGAAGGCCCGGGTCATTCTGCTGCCTTTAAAGTCGGTCTCAGCCAGGCTGGCACCCCTCAGACCAGCCCTCCTCGCTTCAGCCAGCCGTTACCGGGCCAGCAAATGCCGCCTCTGTGTGCATTGCATGTCTGTCTGAGCAGCTTCATGGTGGTCTGGAAGTACAGCATCTGTTTGCCCTTGCTGGTGATGTCTGACATGTTAACGTGGTCCAAATGGCATCTTCCAAGGTGACCAGATGCTTGCTGGGCGCAGATGTGCAGGGCTCATGGAGCAGAGATGCACGTCTCCGTGGATCCTGTGTCAGCCAGCTCTGCCCGCTCTGCTCTTGTCCCCACCATTGGTCCCCACACACCCTGGCAGCCCTGTGGGCTCCGTCTTGAGATGGAGACCAGCATGTGAGGCTGGAGCTGCCATAAGGTCCCCATAAAAACACTTCTTGGCCCATTCCCCGGCGTTTCCTGCCGCTGCCGCACGTGCTCAGGATCCCACATGCCTCGCAAGCCGTTCACCAACTGCAGCCCCGCAGATGGAGGAGCCAGGCACAGTTTTGCAGCAGGAGAGACAGGAATCCACAGGCTCTGTTTGTTCTCAGGGTGTTCACGGCAGCAGAGGAAGGGGGAGGAGAGCTGGCACCCACCCCTGCAGGGCCGGCTGTGCCAAGTGCCCCTCTGCAAAGGGCTTGAGACCTTTCTGTACCCGCTCCTGTTCTGGGGCTCAGTCGTAAGCCCTGCTTCAGCTGCAGGAAGTGTTTCCACCTGGTGCTGTCCTGTTTAAAGGTGGTTGAAAATGGTGCAAGTGCCTTGGGTAGATGGAGACCATTGCTCCTCCCAGGCAGGTGGTACTGGTTTGTTCTGGTGACTTTTCCCTCTAGCAGAGATCATCAGTCAGCCCTAAAAGCAAAGAGAGAAAACCAGTCCTCAAAGGGAGCAAAGATTTCTTGCAGTAGGAAATTAAAAATGTACGTGTCAGCTTTCAGAGTAACTCTTGCTCTTCCTTGATCTGTCTGGGGGGGAATGAGGGCTCTGCATTCAGCCCAGCTCTGTAGCACAGAGGTCTGAAGGTGCTCAGGAAGCTGAAGGCATATCCCTTGGTGGCATATCGTGGTGGGGAGTGACTGGACAGAGCTGATATCTCTCTTACCTTGGATGGGAGAGCGTGACTGGATTGGTGTCTGAGCTCTGAGCACAGCAGATAAGTGTCCAAGCCCCAGGAGAGGGGATATCTTCATGCCGTGTCAGTCAAGACACTGTGAAGAGCCGGATGAGGAGTGGACATCCTCCCACAGGGGCACATCCATGGTGGGCTCCTTCTGCTGATGGGACCAGGGGGGCTTCTCCTGGAGAGTCCTTCTACCTTGTGCTGAGCCGTTTTCCAGTGACCTTGTGTCTCAGTGGCATTGTGCCACGGTGGTCCCCAGGGATGCAAGGGGACGTGGTGCAGCCTCTCTGGCTGGAGGCAGGCAGCAGACAGGGACATGGGCAGAGTGGGAATAGGCCATCTGCTCCCTGCGGTGGGACGGGGTCAGCACTGGTCTGTGCCCACTGAGGGGGGTGGCAGGTGTTTTCCAAGCAGCATGGCCAGGATCAGCAGCAGCTGAACCTGGGATGGGGCTGGGTTTGGGTGCTGCTGACGGGGTGGAGCTACTTAGCTCCAGGTGTTGTTTTATAGCCCCAGTTCACTACTGCAAGAGTGAGGCTGAGAGATTTGCAGCCTAGTGTGCTTCTCTGCCCAGGAGTTAGAAGAAGAAAGAAAAAAAAAACAGGCTTCAGGGGAAGTGATGGCTCCTGTGGTCCTGGGGTTCAGCCAAGCTGTAATTATCAGTGTTAGGGAGAGCGTTACCCACTGCTGCTGCTGGTTTTCTCTGACCTCTTCCTCTGGTCCAGGGCAAGCACATGTCGTGCCCCAAGCCCAGCGTGGGAGAGCTGCCGTGGGAAGGCTGTTCAGAGCCACAGCCTGCAGGAGGCATGTTGTACCTGCTGCTGAGCACATTACTGCTTCTCCAGGAGTGGATAAGTCCTGCTTGTGAGGACACTGGTCCTCTTTTATTTAATTTCCTAGTAATGCTTCTGCAGTGTCAAAGCCTTATCAGGAGAGGAGAAGCTTAAGAGCCTGGTAAAGGAGTTTTAGTCAGTATCTTTATTTCCCTCTTCCCTTTAATGCTGGATGGCAGACTGGTTGTGGCTGAAATGAGGTGTGCTTTCTTTTCCTTTTGTCCATTTAAGCTGCAAAGGTTTCCCCACTAACCTTTTCTGATGGTAATTCAGCTGCATGAGAGGCTGCTGTTCCCGGGTGGTATTAGTGCCTTGGCCGCAGGCTCCATGAGGAGGAGCGCGGCTGAGACCCGCTCCCAGATCACACACGAAAGGACAACTCTGGGAACACAAACAGCTTTAACTGGGCAGCTGTAGTCTGGGACTTGTTCTGCTTGGCTGTGGCTTGGTGAGCAAACCCATGCCTCAGTTTCCCCAGAGCAATTGCACTGAGCTCAGCCACATCTCTAAAGCATCCCAGTGCTTTGAGCCCCACAGTTCATCCTCACGTTCATGTGCTGTCGGGGCTTGTTGGATGCAGGGGCTGGAGTTGCTGTGGGCAGTGTCGGGAGGATGAAGGAAGGAGGTCTCCCCTGGGAGAAGCCGGCAGCTCAGCGGCGCTGCTGTCTGTTGGCAGCCAGCTCCATCTCTGCAAACAGCAGGCATTCTCCCTGGCCATGCCAGGCGTGCGGAGACACAGCGCTACGTGCAGTCCCCTTTTCAGCTGCAGACAATGGCTTTGGATAATGTTCGTTTGAGAAAATTGGTCGAATCGTGTGACTTTTTTTCTTGTTGTTGTTGCTGTTGTTCTTTTACATGCCCATGGGAGTAGCCGAGCAGCTAATGAGGCGGCACGTAGCCAGTCGCAGGGGAGATGGTCTTGCCTGCGCTTCCCTGCAGCTGCGCTCTCCTGGCGATGGAGCCAGCCCTGCACCCCACGCCTGCAGGTGCTGCACCACTGCTGGGACCATTGATGGGTGCGGGACTCCCCCCAGCCCTGGGAGATCACAGAATCACAGAATGGTAGGGCTTGGAAGGGACCTCTGTGGGTCATCTAGTCCAACCCCCTGCCGAAGCAGGGTCACCCAGAGCAGGCTGCACAGGACCTTGTCCAGGTGGGTTTTGAATATCTCGAGAGAAGGAGACTCCACAGCCTCCCTGGGCAGCCTGTTCCAGGGCTCCGTCACCCTCAGAGGGAAGAAGTTCTTCCTCACGTTGAGACGGAACTTCCTGTGCTTCAGGTTGTGCCCATTGCCCCTTGTCCTGTCGCTGGGATGCCCGCACCCTTCTGCTCCTCAGCAGTTCCCTTCCCTGGGTCTCACTGTTTTGCTTCTCCAGCCACATGCCACTGCTTGAGGGAGGGGAAAGCCACGGGTACCCATCCGGCTGGGCACCGGGGATGGGTCAGGGTGGACCCGGCAGTGGTGGCATCCCATCACTACAGAGTGCCAGTGCTGTGTCCCTGACAGTGGGTGGAGGTGCCCCGTGCTCTGAGCCCTCCTGTCTCCCGCAGGAGACAAGGCAGCAGGGACACAGCCGGACCCTGCTCCCTCACAGGAAGGCGGGACAGGTCATCTGGGATCAGGGCCGGCACAGGGCTGTCTCTCCTGGCAGCGACGTGCTCAAGCCCAAAGGTGCACGTGTGCTGGCGCGGAGCTGCAGGAAGCTCCCGTCCTGTGTCAGCCCCACGTGCTGTCCCTCTTCACTGTGCCGCAGGGGCCGACAGGCAGCACTGGGAGCAGGCAGGGGGGGTCGGAAATGCAGACAGGTTGCGTTAGATGGATGATGCGTCAAATCCTAAACTGATAAGAGACGGAACAATCGATGTGTTGCCAAAAGGCCGGGAAGGATCTTTTTTAAGCCAGCTAAATAGTCTGGACAGGAACAAGCAATAAGCAGCACAGAAACAACGTCGCGTTCATCACTTTGTTTTTCTGGCCGTGGCTGTGCACGTTGCCATCTGTCTGTGCTGGGCTCCGCTGCCAATGGTGCTGGGATTGCTCCCCGATAGCAGGCTCACAGCTCTGCCGAGCAGCCCGGAGCCATGGCTGGCATTGCTCTGGGATGCCAAGGGCAGGTTTGGCATGACCTTGCCCTTGGCCGGGTCTTCCCAGCTTTGTATGGCCAGGTGGGGTCAGCCCCCACCCCCCGGCTGTGCCCCTTCCTGGAGTCCGGTGAAAATTAACCCTGTTCTGGCCAAACCCAGGACACTGAACTTGTTTCCACTTATCTCTGATACTGCGCAGCCGTGTTACACAGCATGAAGAAGCCAACCCTTGAGTTTGCTCTTAGACCTCTGCACAATGGGCAGAGAGACGGCACTCTGTCCATGCCAGGGCTGCTGTCTCCTCTGAACCTCGCAGCAGTGGCATCCCTCAGGTAACGGCCAGAGTCACACCACCAAGAGTTTACCCTGCAGGGGTCTGCCATCTAATGAAGTGAGAGGCTGGCACAGGGATGGGACAGTGAGATGCTGGGAGAGGAGGGCGTGGGGGATATTTCCATGAATGTCCCCCTGCCCAAGCTGCTGGTGCTGTGGCAAGGACGGTGATGGAGCAGCACTGCTCTGCAAGGGAGGACGGTGGGGCTGTGCATGTCCCAGCAAGCTGCTGGGAGGCAGGCAGAGTGGGGCTGCCCTCCAGGTCGCAGGGGGCTTGAGGTGAGCAGGGAGGGCTGCCATGATGGGCTCCATTACAGCCTACCCCTCCGCTCTGCAGCGCAGCCATGTGATGCCGGAGGAGCGTGGTGGCGATGATATGGAATGTGGGCAGCTGCCTTCGGACACACTCCGACAGGTGACGGTCCAGCGCCACCCGCACTACGGATTCGGCTTCGTGGCCGGCAGTGAGAGGCCGGTGGTGGTGCGCTCGGTGGCAGCAGGTAGGGTGTGCAGTGGGGGGGTCCCTGGGCACGGCTGCAGGGTGCCTGGAGGCACAGTGGCACCTTCCCCTGGTGGAACCCCTCCCTGGGCTCCTGTCCTCTCCCGTCCCCTCCAGTGGGCCTGCGGGGTGCCCTCCACAGCCACATACATGGGCAAACAGTTTGGGGGTGTTTGGGACCCACCTGCCTCCCCCCCTACCCTGCAACCCCGGGATACCTGGCCTGGCCCTGACCCCGTCTCCCGGCAGGTGGCCCCTCTGAGGATAAACTTCTGCCAGGAGACCAGATCTTGGCCATCAATGATGAGGATGTGAGTGAAGCCCCCAGAGAGAGATTCATCGAGCTCGTCAGGTGAGGACAACACTTGTCCCTCATTGCCTTTGGGGAGAGGCTTTGTGCCAGGCTGCTGTGCCCCAACCAGAGCCTTGGGGTGTCAGCACAGACCCTCAGGCTCCACTGTCACTGGTGGTCACTGCTGGTGTGGGGAAGCCTCAACTTGAGCAGGGGTAGTGCCTTGGAGCAAGTGCTATACCTGTTCCCGGCTGGCCAAGGGGCGGGCAGCACTGGGAGAGCACCCACAGCTGTATTACCAAGCACCCCAAGGAGCCCACAAAGGTCTCGGCCACCATCAGGCTTGGGAGGGTGGGATGTGCTCTCTCAATCGCCAAATGCACATGTGACGTCCCTTCCACCTTCATTTCTCCTTTCTGTCACAGGAAGGCCAAGGACTTCATCATCCTCACGGTCCTGCACACCCACCAGGTGAGGCTGGGGGGGCCACAGCCAGCCCCAGGGGAGCCAGGACAGGAGTTAAGAGCCCTTTGGGAGACCGAGGTGGGGTCCCTGGAGGCCCTGGGGGACCACCCAGGCAGCTCAACTGAAGAGTCCAAGGCTCTTCCAAGCTGTTGGGTCTCAGAGCTGCTGCAGACTCGCAGGATCAGTGTGGGCATGCGGTAATCTCCCTGTCCTCGTTACTACCTCCTCACAGGAGGGAGCAAGGAAAAAGATCCCCAAACCCGTATGGTTTGCTGAGGGCATCAGGCGTGTCTGATGAAGTCCGCTGTCCCAGAGGCGGCAGGGGTGGACATGCTGTTGCTGTTCCTGGTAGGCTTGGCCGGGGGGTGCCTGGGGAGGTGGGAGTGCCAGGCTGTGGGCCCCGAGCAGTGCAGCTGGTGGTGCTGGCACTGGGTGGTGATGGTGCACTGGGGCTCGGCACCCATGGCGCTGGAGCAGATTAAATCGTCATGCTGATGGTGGTGGTAGCAGGGCATCGTTTCTGCTTTACTGAGCCCTTTGATGTTGGTGAAGGAGATAAGTGTGAGAGCTCCCCTGTGCTCCCCTCCTCTCTGGGAAGGAGATGCCACTGCCCAGCGCTGCTCCATCAGGAGTGGGGCATGTGCTGGGCTCCAAAAAAGCTTTTTTTCTCCTGGTCCTGGATGGCCACCAGCCAGGGCAGGCTGCTTGGGTGATTCCGTTGCCCTCAGACGCACACAGCTGTGCAGCACAACTGCCTCCGTGACGGAGCATGTGCAGGCTGAATCTCCCCAGCACCCAGCACTGCCACCAGAACATCCTGCAGGGCTGCCTGGAGTCCTGCCATCTCCCATCTCGCAGCCACCTGGCTCCTCACTGCAGCTGCCAACCCACATCTGAGGGGCTCGTCTCTCCCATCCGAACCAGCACCGATACCCCTGAGAGAGCCCTGGCTCATGTCTGCTGGAGCTCAGCCTGCACAGGGGGTGCTGGGCACATGTGCCCACAGGGGTGCAGCCTCCCCATCACGCTGAGGGTGCTGGTGTGACTTCAGAGGCTGATGCTCATCAGGCAGGCCCTGCCTGCAGCACTGTATAACCACAGCGAAGCGGACTTGCTTTCCACTCCCACATTTCATGGTTTGCTTCCTGCTCCCCATTGTCATGCTGGCTTCAGAGAGGCGTTCTCTGGGCCTCCTGTCTGGCTTTCCCTGCGCCACAGCTCCAAGGGTAGGCAGGTGATTTACCCGGTGCTCTCTTTCCAGTCTCCCAAATCTGCTTTCATCAGCGCAGCCAAAAAGGCGAAGCTAAGGTCCAACCCAGCGAAGGTCCGATTTTCAGAGCAGGTGACAGTCGGCGAGACGGACCCAGTAAGTCCTGCCCTGCTTCCTCCGTGATTCACCCTCCTCAGGAGTCTCCAGGGCCATGGGGTGCAAGGTGGCTAGGGGCCGCAGGGCTCCTCTCCCCTGATTTGGGCTTCGTGGGTGAGAACAGCCCTCTGGCCTGGGGAGCCCTCAGGGCAGATGCGCTTGGGCACACTCAAACTGCTGGGTCAGTGCTGGGGGGACATGCCGTGGTCCTCCCCTGTCCCTCTGTCTGGATGCAGCCCCAGAAACTGCCCTTGGAAACCTGGTCCCACCCGAGTCCCCCTGGGCACCCAAGGATGCCCTAAGGAAGGTCTGTGGCTTCCAGCCCGGTGCCAGAGGCTTTGCAGGAGGGCCCGTGCGTGGGGCAGGGTGCCCAGGGCACTGCTGCGTGGCAATGGAATCTGTTACGCTGCAGAAGTGTTCCAACCCAGCGCCGCTATCTCTTAGATGCAGAAAGGTTTTTTTAAGCAGCATACACGAAAACCCCAAAACAAAACCGAAAAAAAACCTGTTAAGCACTTCTAGCAAATTCTATTTTAAGCAAAAACTGAGTTAAGTAATTATCTGATTGAAATTCTTCTCACTGAATAAACCCAGCCTTCACCCAATGTCCTGCACAGGGCACGTGCAAGGTTAAGGGTGGGCTAGGCTTGGGGTACGGGTCAGGGAAAGGGGGATCGGCTCTGAGCCACCTCGGACATCACCTCCCCCCTGGGGCACCAGCTGGGGAGTGGGACAGGCTGCCAGGCATGGGCATGGCTCTGGGACGTGCTGAACGGAGTGGGATGCTCCCTTCCCACCGCAGCTGCTCGGAGCTGGGCAGGTGAATCTTTCAGGCAGCTCTGAATTGCTCCAGCTCTGCGTTTCTCGATGGCTCCGCAGAGATGCTGGATTTCCAAGGGAAATGTGCCTCTTGGCACACAAGCCTAGAGAAGCAGAGGATACCGTAACCGCTCCATCACTGACACTCATTCTCTTTCCTCTCCCTCCCTCTGTCTCTTCGTGCCCCCCATCCTCTTCACCTCCCCCGTTGCCGGCCCCACGTGCCAGGACATGTTGAAGAAAGAAGCTCTCCTCCTCATTCCCAACGTGCTGAAGGTTTTCCTGGAGAACGGGCAGATCAAATCCTTCACATTCGATGGCCGAACCACCGTGAAGGTGGGCCCCTCCGCTCCCCCCACGGCACTGTGACGCTTCTCTCCTCCTGCCTGCCCGATCCGTTTTTCCTTGTCTCCCGCTTCCTTGCACAAGCACCGCAGCAGCACTGGGCTGGCTGCGAACTGCCACCGCATGATAGATAGCCCCTCCGCCTCCCCCGGCGACACGCTTTGCAGATGGCACAAATGGGTTTTTGCTGTCTTTCTCCCCTCCTAACTTTTCTCCTTGCTGAGAGCCTGCCCTCGAGCCAGGCTGGATGCTCCTGCGAGTCCCTCTGCCAGGGGCCGGCTCCCCACAGCCCCCCTCGAAGCACAGCTGTGTTACCTGAGGTGCCGAGGGTCTGCCTGCTGGTCACCTCCTGCTGCGAGGTCACTTTGTCCAGCAGTGGCTGGGTACCATTCCACAGCCCCTCTCAGCGCTGCAGGGCCTCATTCTGTGCTGGCACGGCCCCAGTGCCAGGGAGAAGGGGGCTGTCCGCGGGGTGCCAGCTCCCACGCCGGGAGGCAGCCAGTGCCTCCCACCCGAGCCTGTCTGTGGCATTTGCAGGACGTGATGGTGCCGTTGCAGGACCGCCTGTCCCGGAGGCC